CGTACCTATTTGCTTAGTTAAATCCAGGTGGCGACTTTTTTTTTGGCCAGGCAGTGTATATGTAAAGCAATACATAGGAAACAGATAGAATAGATTTAATCATGAAATTGACCTGAATTTGGATCAACAGCTGCAAAACATTTATTTAAAGGAGCAGTGTGTGGGATTTAGTGGCATCTAGTGGTGAGGATTGCAGATTGCAACCAGATGAAGCCTCTCCTGGTTAGAATCTCATTAGTGTTCATTGTTCAGGAGGTTTTTACCGGGAGCCGAATTAGATCTGCAGAGTTCTCTTCCTCTTGAAAACAAAAGGGCCAGGGGCTGTACTCACAAAGCTTCCTAGTGTTAAGAGTTGCTCTCAGTGACTTGCTCTAAAAAAATGTATAGAATTGTAATGTCTTTTTTAGAATTTCCCCTTTAAGTTAGGACTAGGTCCTTGTAAAGATAAAGGTTATTTATGGAGCATCTTAAAAGACCTTAAAAGAAGTCCTAAGGTGAAAAACTGTTTGGAGCATGGAGGAGGACTTTTAAGAGAGGCTTAAGAGTTTCTTAATCAGAGGAGAAAATGGTGGAAACATAAAGAGGTCGGAGAAATATTTTCCAAACGCTGGATGGACAGTGAGTAAATGAAATGCTACTGATTAGATTGTGCAGGAAAAGTATGTGTGGTTAATCTCATTAGGGATACGCAAACATTTCCCTTCTAACGCTATAACGGCAAAAATAAAATGATCACAACACTAAGATATTTGGGAAACTGGAAAAATGCAACAGCACAGCAGAAACAACTTAGGTCTATCTCAACCTTCCATCAGCAGAGTGATCACAGCATTTCATTTCATTTCCACTGGGTGTCCACACCTTGCAGGCTCACAAAAGGGTGTGTCTGTGACAACCAATCACATCTATTAAAAGAATGCATCACACCTAGCAATGGAGTCAACCACACGTCCTCACTCGGATAAAAGTTTTTGTCCCTTCCTTGCTCAAAGTTGCTCTGAGAACTTTCCTAAACCACTCCTACGCTAGGACTCCTTACAAAAAGCTTTTTAAGCTAAGTTCGAAGGTCTCTGAGAGGATTCCCAAAGATTACAGGCGTTTAAAATTGATATAAACACTGAATAAAGCAGTTTCATGATACAAATCTGTGTTTCTCTGGTGCTGTTTAGCTCATTGGAGACAGGCCACTAGACTAGCACCTGCCAATTTGTGCTCACCTTTTTCCTCTGTTGACTTGAGATCAAGATCTAGATGAGGTTTTTAGTGGGAGCAAAATCATCTGTTGCAGAGGGAATGCTAACTACAGCGGGCTACACAAAAATGCAAAAATATAAAAATCTGAATGGCCTTATCGAGAGCCAGTGCTTGTGTTCGTTCTGGGCCACTGTAGAAACATGACAGTAAAACATGGCGGACTCCATGGACGAGGACCGCTCCCTGTGTAGATATAAATGGCTCATTCTTGGGTAACAAAAACACAACAATTCTAATTTCCAGGCTATTATAAACTTAAAAAAACACACTTGTTATATTATAATACATTTCTGCCACTATATCCTCCTAAAGGATACAGTACATCCAAAACTACATCCAAAACTCTGCTGCCCGCCTCCTCACCCACACCAGCTTCCGTGAACATATAACCCCTGTCCTGCAAAACCTTCACTGGCTCCCTGTCCCGTACAGAATCAATTTCAAGATCCTCCTCCTCACCCACAAAGCCCTCCACAGCCAGGCCCCCTCCTACCTCACGGACATGCTCCACCACCACACTCCCTCCCGCAACCTTCNAAAAATCTGAATGGCCTTATCGAGAGCCAGTGCTTGTGTTCGTTCTGGGCCACTGTAGAAACATGACAGTAAAACATGGCGGACTCCATGGACGAGGACCGCTCCCTGTGTAGATATAAATGGCTCATTCTTGGGTAACAAAAACACAACAATTCTAATTTCCAGGCTATTATAAACTTAAAAAAACACACTTGTTATATTATAATACATTTCTGCCACTATATCCTCCTAAAGGATACAGTACATCCAAAACTACATCCAAAACTCTGCTGCCCGCCTCCTCACCCACACCAGCTCCCGTGAACATATAACCCCTGTCCTGCAAAACCTTCACTGGCTCCCTGTCCCGTACAGAATCAATTTCAAGATCCTCCTCCTCACCCACAAAGCCCTCCACAGCCAGGCCCCCTCCTACCTCACGGACATGCTCCACCACCACACTCCCTCCCGCAACCTTCAATCATCCGACAAAAACCTCCTCTCACCCCCACACAGGACCAAGCACAGAACCTGGGGCGACAGAGCCTTCTCCATAGCCGCCTCCTCCCTCTGGAACACCCTCCCTATACACATCCGTGACTGTCCAAATCCATCCACCTTCAAATCACTCCTCAAAACCCACCTTTTCAAATCCACCTTTAACCTTTAACATTAGCTTTTCGTTCTCGGTTCCTCATGTGCCCTCCTTTTCTTTGTTTTGCACTATGCTTTTGCACCTTGTTGTTTTATATTGTCCTTGTCTTCTGTTTATGTCTTTGCACTTACATGTATGTACTTCTTTTCTTTGGTTTTAAATGTAAAGCGTCTTTGAGACCTGTAAAAGCGCTGTATAAATAAAATGTATTATTATTATTATTATTATTATTATTATTAAATCCTACACACTGAACCTTTCAAGATTTAATTTCTTGTAAAATTCCCCCAAGAAGATGCAGAGCTATAGCTAGGACTTTATGAAATCTCAAGCCATGAGTTCAACTTCATTTAATTCAGTTATAGTTTCTCGTTAGTATAGTATAGTTCCCTACATAAAGGTCTGCTGTTTCATCATGACCTTCTTCACACTTACATCTTGTATCATCTTGTACCTCTGAAAAGCTAAATTAAAAAAAATGGTAACTATTAAAAGAGTTCACTCCAAAGAATATCAGAATCTGCCTTAAAATAACACCATAGGTAACTGAGTGTTATTGTAAAATGGAAACCCCCACAGGTCATATGCTGTCATAACTAGGTTATTGTAGAGTGCTGAATCAGCCAGCAGATGACACTGGGTGACAACAAATGTTTCTGTTACTGCACTTGTACAGCAAGAGGCTGAGTGTTTTTTTTTTCCATGTGAGATCAGATAGATTTATGTCATTTAAAGTTACCTGTTGTTTCCTTTTTTTGAAAAATGTGAATAACTGATTTCCATGCATAGCAGAGCTGTTGAGTGCATGTGCAGGTTGTATAGCTGACATTTCACTGCTCTCTTTCCTGCAGGTTGAATTCAGCGATAATTGGCACTCCCATTACCCTGTTCACCACTAATTACCGCTACACTCACACACCCACTGCATCGAGCAGGGGGAGAGGTAAGGGCACCGTGAGCACATCACAGCTGGTTTACATTGAGAGTCACATTTGAATGCACATACAATCAGCTGCCATTGTTAGAGACAAAGCTGACAAAGCAATGTCTTTATTGTCTTTAGCAACCCAGGACATTTGAGTGTGTTGGTGCATATCCAATTCTGGTCTTTTCTTGTTCACCAGTTCCAGCTAGTTGACTTGTGACCTTTTTGTGTTCAGATATCACCCAGGCTATCCAAGATATCACCAGCATCAAGCCCCGGCAGAAGATCCTGGCCAAGAAGGTCCTTAAGAAAAAAGAGCTGACCCCGAAAGATGTGATGGACAGTGGCCTGGAGGAGAAAAATGGGGGCACTGCTGAAGAGGCTCCAGATGAAGACACAAGGAGGACTCCATCTGTGGAAGTGGGTGAGGAGAGGGTGAAGAGAACAGAGCAGAGACCTGTTCTCACTGGAGTGTCTCCACAGGATGTCCCTGACGGAGCTCAGATCAGCAAAGCTTTTGACACTCTTTGCAACATTGTCAGAGACAGAATGAGGAAGTACAAGAAGCCTGAGCCGATCGCTGACTTTTATACCAAGGGTCGTTATGTCCTCGTCACTGGCGACGGCAGCTACCTGGATCCATGCTTCTGCACCTCCACACCATCAGCCGGCCACATCTTCGTCACTATCAGAGACGGAACGATGCCACCCTACGAGCCTTATGCACCCGTCATACCCTCTCCTCTACCTCCAACTCCTCAGCCCATAATAGAACCCAGGTCTGTCAGTCCCACCCCACCTCCTAATGGAGAAGGAGAAGGAAAGGACGATAACAAGGGTGGCAAAGGTAAGGACAATGGAGGTAAAGGTAAGCACAAGAACGGAGAGCCTCAACCTTTTTCTAAAGATCCGAGCCCAGCTCCTTCACCCTCCGAACCCAAAGAACCCACCCCAGCTGCCACTCATCCCAAGAAAAGCGGGGATGACAACGGGCCAAGCGGGCCCACTCCTAAACCTGCGCCCCGCGGTGCCAGCACCAGCTCCAGCTCCAGTTCTAGCACCAGCACCAGCACCAGCACCAGCTCTAGCAGCTACACCCCAGAAGCCATGAGCTACGAGAAGCTGGAGGTGGTGGAGTCTGTGGAGAAGTTCTCCAATGATCGCAAGGTTAAAGGTTACGAAGAGACTTCCATGGTGGTGGAGACCATGATCGAGAAGTCCAGTAAGAAGAAACACTGAAACCACGTCACCTGACATGAAGAGTCAGTCAACTCCACCAGGGTCCTCCATGGTTCAGGTCCTCTGACAAGAGGACAATGCCACTGTTCCTCAAACTACTGTAACAAGACCAGTATTTTTGTCTCTGAGAAAAACCAATCATGCTTAAAGACCAACTACACATTCCTGCTCTGATATTATTCACTGCTCTTCCATTTGCTTGCAGTCTCTGGTCTTGCGTCCAGAATACGTTTTGCTGGTTCCATAAGTACTGCTGTTGTTGTTCGACTTAACAACCATGCTCATGCTATGAGTCCTTTACTGTCTGAAAACTTGGGACAATGAAAAATGAAGCTCCACACCACCAAGAAAAAAAACAATGAAAAGACATAAAAAACTAAGAAGTTGTGCCACCCCTCTGAACTCTGTCTTAGAACTCCAATTTTCCCCTTTGAGCTCATTTGTTCAATTGGATGCCACTGCCTGCCCTCAGCACAATTTTGCTGTGAATTAATTTGCTTTGATATATTGAATAATAAAAAAGATTCAAACATCAATTGAAACCGTGTTCTCCTTCTAGGCAGATACTCTGTGCCAAGCACGACACACACGTATTTGATAGGTCATAAAACCACTCAGGCATGTATACAGACACAGACATTTTATGTTACACTTAAACAATTACTCCCAAGCTCTAAAGGAAGATATATTTTTGGTGAAGTCTGCAGCATCCACAAATAACTCATTCATTTTTTATGTGACCTTGAGTAGCTGACAATGGCCACTGCATTTAGTATGACCCAGTGTGTCTGCAGGAAGTACAGTGTAGCCGTCTTGCTGCCTCTGTGAGTTCCCCAGCACTCTGTCTATATGCAGTACTTTTATTGAATACTGCCCAGCACACAACAACATGGCTGCTCGGCTCCTCCAGTACACATCTCCCAGTCCATTCAATTTAAAACCAAAAACTTAGGCAGTGTCCTTCTCCTTAGTCTGTGCCACAGCACACTTCGGCATGCAAAAGGCAGAGATGTAATCAGAACAAACCAGCAGCAGCTGTGTCAATCAACTCACCTGGTACTACTTTCATGAGCCACCACCCCACACCTCTCCCCTGCAGCTGACTTCTAACCACACCCACCTCCACAGACAGGATAGTTAGATGAAAAGAAAAACACAAAGATGATCTCTTATATGAAATATGGAATGACCAAACGGTGTCAGAGAAGATCTGTGATAATCATAAGTAATATCTGATTGGATTAAGCTAAGAAACTTAAGACACAATATGTTTGAAAGTTCAAAGAGAATAAAATGCTGGATAAAAAGAAAACAGCAAGGGGTGGTGAGCTTACTCTCCTTATTGTAACAGAGTTGTAGACTTACTTACCTCTTTGAGTAGTTTCAAAATTGGTAATGTTTATTGTGAAATTTATTATTTAAAGTTTAATGGACTGCACTTGTATAGTGCCTTTCTAGTTTTCCGACCACTCAAAGCACTTTCTACACTACGTCACATTCACCCACTCACACACTGGTGGCTGAGGCTACCATACAAGGTGCCACCTGCGACTAAGCATTCACACACACTCACACACCGATGGAACAGCCATCGGGAACAATTTGGGGTTCAGCATCTTGCTGAAGGATACTTTGACATGCTGGAGCCGGGGATTGAACCGCCAATCTTCCTCTGCCTCTGAGCCACAGCTGCCCACGTTTTAAGGGAAAAAAATCGTGATATAGGTTAAAATGAATAGCTTATTACCAGAAGGGACTTTCTGACAGAAAGCCAGAGGCGCTCTAGCCATTATGAAGTTCGGCCAGTCCAAGGCTGAACATGGATGTATTAGCTGGTGGTCATAGAGATTTTATTGTTTCAATTTTTGATGTCAGCCCTCAACCATAGGCCTGTGGGCCAGCTTGCTGACTGGCCCTGGCAGCCGCAGACAGCACTGAGCGGAAGCTGCCTGTCAGACTGAGCCAATCTCATGCCTTCAATACTCGGGGGGGATACGAGCAGCCCCTCCCAATTTGGACTGATCCTCATTTTTGTTGAAATCTGATCGGCTCATTGTTTTCATCAGGAAAAGTTTCTATCTGTCTTCAATTTTTTTGGTAAACATATTTAGCGAGGCGAGAACAGAGAGCTGAAAAAGAAATGTGTGGTGCAGAGAAATTACGAGCTAAAAAGCTAAAAATGTTAGCGCAAGATGCTAAATGGGCTAAATCTTTTCCGTGGTCAAAGGGCAAAGGTTGCTGTGGCCAGTGATGACTGTTGGACTGCTCCAACGCTCTCTGATGATGTGATGTAGGACAGTCTCCAATTTTGGGAGTTTTTTAGAGGATATAGGCCTGTATGCCTTGGAGGTTGGTTGTATCTGTCTCCAAATATTTGCTTTGATTTTGAAGATAAGCTGCTTGTTTTTATTTCTTATTACAGACATGTTTTTGTGCTGATGTTAGCAGTAGTTTGCATTATACTGTGACTCAGTGCTCACTGAGGCTTGCTTGGTCTGGTCTTGTTTTGATTCAGTGCAGTGGTGATGTGCTTATACAACCTGAGGAGGCAGGTGGGTGTCAGCAAGACATCATGAAGTGTCTTTAAGGTCTCCAGTACAATCAGATTCTCTTTTTTCACAAAAACAGTATTAGTGTTACAGTTTTCTGCTCGTGCCCTTCAGGCGCTCACATTAAAAGCCCTTGCCACCTCAAAGTTTCATCAAAATTTCAGTCCCAGTACGGCCCTGCAGAAAGTCCTCCGTGCAAAATCCTCCCAGTTACTGTTGAAAGTGCTCATTCACTGGCTCAGTGTTAGGAGGTGCAAAGGGGTACCTGCTGTAGTCTGCTCTAAGCAATCCCAATCCTCATGTCTATACCAAACTAAAGAAGAGTGCGAACAAGTACGAGTCACGGAAAAAATACTTGGCCAACCAGGCAGAGGACTGCAGTTAGTGAACAGTACAAAATGTGCAACAATGCAATAGAATTAAGGATGATGTATAATACTGTATATAAGTTATGGTTAACATCATTGTATCTCAGCATAATCACTGATTTAATGCACCACCTAGCAGCCAAGTTACACAAATCAAACACACTTATGGTATTGCGTAGGTGCATGCTGGGTCTGGCTTGCATGTTAAATGCTTAAATGCTCATGGTGGTGAGACGTTTTGCCTTCAGTGCAGAAAACTTTTTATTTGAACCCAAACCAAAACCTCACCAAGGCAGGGCTTTCTGGCGGTAATCCCTGAACACAAATTTCTCCCAACAGCTCCTCCTTCTGCTGTGTGTGACAATTATCCTTGAAGTGACTGCAGAGCCTCTTTCAGCTTGTTGAAAAACTTTGAGGAGCGCAGTGGGACTGGTTATATTGGGACAAAGAGGCTGAGTGGACTGGTTGTAATATGCTTTGAGAATCAACAAGCAGAGATGTTGAACCTAGAGCAGATTGCGGAGGACGTCACGGTGCACAAGATTCACCGAGTGCCATCCACACAAACAGCACACTCATTAATGTAAGCCAGGATACAGAGGAGGGCGTCAGTGTGTGTCTTCTGTGCAGTTTCTACTTTGCTTTGATATGTGTGTTTGTGGCTGCAGTTGCTGTGAAGTTTAACATTATTTATTACAGCCTACACCTCTGTGTTGTCTGCCCTGATGATGTTTTATGCTGCTGTTGATCCTATAAGAAGTGCAGGCTATTTATGTGGCTCAATAATGCTTATCCCCACCACATCGTCCACAGCCGTTTTATTTATTGCCTGAGTCTTGCCTCTTTATTGTTTATTATAGTGAGGCTATACAGAAAAAGGCGACTGGATATTTAGAACTGATAGTCAATTATAGAAACGCAATTTATTGTTGGTTCGGACATTAGGGCTCTATACTATACTACTATACTTATTAATGTGCACCTCCTCCTGTACTGCCTTAATGTGCACATTCAGCACATCCAATGTATCAAAACATTGTTTGTTTTCTAGTTGGAGCCGCGCCTCGTTTTCAAACTGTATGGTTTGACTAAAATGAACAATGACAGCAACATAGTCCACGATGAGCAGCGCTAAAATCAACCTGCGTAGTTGTCCCTCCATTGTGACATTAGAAAGTGTCACTTTTATCTTGCAAGTGTACTCTTCTTCAGCGTTTTGTTTACTTCCTGGATTTTTCCCACATGGAAATTCTGACCAATCAAGAGCAGCTTTCTCGTGCAAGGCATTTTATCTGGTCCGCTTGTAAATGCCGCCGTGAGGACATGAACCAACTCAACTCAGTCCCTGATTTGGACCAAGGCAAGACAACTCTAGGTCTGAAAGCACCCTAAAAAACTGTTATGGCAGTGATTTATTGAGCACCCTTAACATGTACCTTGGCACAAGTAGCTCAGGCTCCACTTTTTAGGGGGAGTTTTCTTTTATTTGACAGCACAGTACAGAATGAAAGACACATGGGGAAAGATTAAAACTGGGTGTGTTATGGTTAGGTAGCTGCTGCTTGTGTGCCAAAGACTACATTTTTCAGATGGATAAAATTGAACTCCACATCCTCGGTCTTCTGTCATAATTTTCTGTGTTTCTGTATCACAGTTTTGGCCCTTGAGATGACTTTTACTCGGTATGCTCGGTGGTGTGTTGCAAATCACTCCAGTGCTTTAATAAACAGCTGAATAGATTTATTATAGCATATGTCAAAGATTATGAAATATGAACTGAGGACCACAGGCTGCAAAATGAATCACATATTCCTCTCCTTGTTTATATATAAACAGTGCATGTCACATAAAAATATAAACGGAAAGAAGTATCACTGCTCTGTTTGCAAGATATTAAACTTTAAGTAGAATGACACAGAAAATCATTTACAGTCACAAACTGTACAACAGTTGGCAGAAGAGAGGTGCAGGGCAGTTAAAGCAAGAGCATGAGAGAGTGGATTATATTTGCTTTATGTACAGTTCTGTTGAGTGTAAAAATCCAGGTGATAGAGTTTTCTTTGTCTATGTAGAACAGATTATTAAAGGTTACACTTTTTATCATGACTGGATTACAAGAAACATTCATTGAAGGTTGGGGGCTAATTGAAACACTTGATAACAAAAAGCAAAGTGAAGAGAGGTAGACAAAAGGGAGGATGATGAGAGACTGAGAAGAACTGAGGCGATTTAGAGAAGGATAGAGCGAGACTGCGGGGAGGGAGAAAGATAAGAGTGAAGGAGTCGGCAACATGCAGATGGGAATTTAGTTGTTTTTACTCAGCAAGCTCTTGAGACTTCTCTCTACAGCCTCATCCAGCTCCTCCTCCAGCTCCTCCTTTTTGGACATTGCGAGTTTGGACTGATAATCACGTACTATCTGGTCTATATAAGGGGCACTTTGTGTTCCGTGCAGCATGAGAGTCCACTCCTTCAGGACTCCGCGCTGTGGTTCCTCGCCCTGAAAGCCCACCTCCAGGACCCAGGTCCCGCGGGGGTCCTCGCCCCAGGTGTGCGTGGTCATGAAGGGCCACTTGTCGAAACCCACCTTGGAGTCGTCGTCGCGGGGCCTTCTGCTCAGCAGGATGGACTTTGTGCCCATGGGCGAAGTCATGTTGATGTTGAGGTCGCCGCGGCGGCTGGCGTTGACGGTGACCACTGCCTGAACGTGCTCCAGGTAGCGGACAAAGTTGTCCTTCCCCTGGCAGGCTTCAGTGGTGATGGCCAGCACCAGTTTGTTGCCAGACTGGATTTTACTGGAGAAGAAAAAAATAGATTGAGGAATATAAATTTGTGTATCAGAGAGGCAGATAAAAGTCAATCATCAGTGTTAAACATGAGCAAAATGAAATAAGACGGAACATGGACACATTATCACCACAATAAGATGGCTTTAGGCCCTGATTAGCATGTAGCTATATGTAGCATTCATATTTTCTCATTTACTTAAATATGAATTCTGAAAAATTAAACAAAATTTGATGTTAAAGGGCTCTTGTATTTGTATTTTGGGTTTTCTACTAGAACATGTTTACATGCTTTAATGTTCAAAAATCACTTCATTTCGGCTGGGATGTGTGGACAACCAGAAACCATGGTTTACCAGAACCATCCGGCATCATGGACAATTATTAGACATCAGTCAAGGATGTAAGAAGACGCAAGAAAGGACTACATCACACTGCACGATTCAAAGGAGATAATGGGATCCCATTTCACTGCAGTTGTATCATGTATTATTTCATGTTACAAATAAATTATGATTGATTAGTTGATTGATGTTTTCCTCATACCACCTATGCTGGAACACCTGTATTAACCCTCTGTCTTAAACACTCTGGGCTGAATTCACAAAAGGATTGCGTGACTTTTGCGGCCGCTAAACCGGTAAAAATGGAGCAAACAGATACGGTCTAATTCACAAAGCACGCGCAGAGGGTGAAATGCTCCACTAACTGCGCTGCCAAGCAGATTGCGTCTCGGTGCTCCGGTGTTATTTGCACGTATTTAAATGAGGTAATATGCATATATTTGGCGCAAAAATTGCCCCTTTCTATGCAAATGAGCCTCATTGATGAACAACGTCTAATTCGCTAACACCAGCGCTAATAGCCACACGCAGTTTGAGTGAAGTAAATAACGTCTTTAGAAAGCTGGTGCAAACTGGGCGCTCCTCTGTTGAAGCCTCTAGCCCAGACTTTCCAGTGATCGTGGCAGCAGTGATCGTCTTTTAAATCAGTCTGTAAATAATATTTTGACATTATTATTATAATCATTATTATTTTAATGGCATCCGAAGATATTGATGCGTTGAACAGACAGTCTTCATTCTTTGTGAATTCGGCCCTCTGTCTTTTTAAGCCCATTCTGCTCTGACTGGTCAGTGATTCAGGGTTTTCTGCACTTTAACAGAGTATAGCGGCATTTTCTACAAGAAAATCCCCAATAAAAGCATCTAAACCGAAATCTTCACAGCCTGACATGTTCTAGCAGGAATACGATCTGAAATCAGGGAGTATTCTGGAGCACTTGTTTCCCTGATTAGCATGTAGCTATATGTAGCATTGTACTTGCAGCTGGGAAATGACTGCGTATGGTGGCACTTTCTACCACAAGAAAAAAAAAGTCACAAGGCTTCTAAACCAAAATATTTGCAACCAGACATGTTGCAGCAGGAACATGATCAAAAATCAGAGAAAAATGAAAAACATCAGCAACCAAGATTATATTTTGCCCTGATGTTAGCATGTAGCTACATGTAGCAGTGTAGGCTATGTAATGTAAACACTTGCAGTAGCGTGCCTGGTGCAGATGACCATCTAAAGAAATGTGTCATCTCATTATTTAAAATTTTGCCCACATTTAAATATGAACATTATATGATATTTTATATAATCATAATAATGGATCAATTATTTCAATACAACGACAAAAATCTGCTCAAAACAAATAGAAAACTGAGAAAACCAGTAAATTTTCACATGTGAGCAGCTGGAAACAGCAAACGTTTGACACTTTTGTTTGATAAATTGTTAATTAGAAACAACAATTTTACCAAACACAAAACTTTGAACGATGTCCAATAATACCTCACTGCCTCTTAGATGAATTTAAACAACTGTACTGTAGAAAAGCATTTATTATATGGCCAGCTGTAAATCTGAGCCATGTTGTCAATAAACTATACGTGTAAACACCTGACCACCTCTGAATTGTAGCTCCTTTTCAGTGCACAAAGAGGTCCTTTTTCATTTTGTCACAACGGATTTGTCCACAGCAGAGTGTAAAAGCAGGCAAATCTAAGTATTGTTGCTTCATGGTAGGGATGACATACTGCTGTTACCGTCTCTTTGGGTGATGGAAAGGAAGAGTGAGAACACAGCAGGGCAGGGGTGGTGGCCAAAGGCTATGAGGAGGCTTAATAACATTATTAGAGGCCAAGGCTACACCGCAGGCAGCAGGGAAATGGGGGTGGAGAGAAGGCAACGGGGACAAGACACAGAGAGTGAGCGAGAGAGACGTTTGGAACAGCACTCAGTTTGAAAAATGATTAATAGAGCACTACGCTGAGCACAGAGAGGTGAGCTGCTGAGGGCTGATGAAGCAAATTACTATTCCCAGAAAAACAGAACAATTCACAGCGGGGTGTTTCACACTAAGTTACGCCCTACACTGCATGTTGAGACATCTGAAATAACCAAATATTAAACTGTTTTTTCTACTAACAACTCTACTAATGACTCCACATACACTCACTTTATTAAATACACCTAAGTGGCATGTGTAGCATGGTTGTTGGTGCCAGACGGGCTGATCTGAGTATTTCCGAAACTGCTGATCTACTGGGATTTTCACACACAGCCATCTCTAGGGTTTAGAGAAGAGAAAATATCCAGTGAGCATCAGTTCTCTGGGTGAAAATGCCTTGTTGGTGCCAGAGGTCAGAGGAGAATGGCCAGACTGGTTCAAGATGATAGAAAGGAAACAGTAACTCAAATAACCACTGGTTACAACCAAGGTCTGCAGAAGACCATCTCTGAACCAACAACACGTCCAACCTTGAAGCAGATGGGCTACAGCAGCAGAAGACCACACCAGGTGCCACTCCTGTCAGCTAACAAC